TATATACCAGACTAACATATATCTAGTAAATGCTAGGGCATTCACGAAGGAACAAGATAGTTCTAGAAACGTGGCGTGACACTAGTCACGTGACCTCGCTGACGCAACACTATGTACATGTATACTAACTTCTGTAGACACAGACCGCTGTATACAGTAAATATTATATTCACATTATTATAATGCTACATTCTCCAGTTGATAAATATATATAAAATTTCTATCAATAAATGCGTGAATTTAGATATATATATAAATACTTTACTCCTCTTTCTCTTCTTAAAATGTTTTGATCTGGTTTCGTATCGTCATTACAAAAACCTGTTTAAAACAAATCTTAAATACTGTTAAAATAGTTTTAACTTTAACGATAAATTCCACAGACTAAAGATATTATTATTAAAAACTGTTTACCTCCTTTTTTTTCTTAATAACCATGTTTCTTAAAAGTTACCCACAGTATTCTCAAGGTACATCTGAAAGATGTATCAAAACCTACATGTTCTTAATTATTGACACTTCGCCTCCTAGCGGCTTAAGTTTTTTCAGAGTTATTCTTTATTTCTTTTCGCTTATACCCAAAAAGGGAAAAATCATTGAAACAAAAAAAAAATCCATGAAATTAATTAAAAATATATAAATAAAGATGTTTACTTAGGGTAGGGGGCCGTTTTTTCGGACTTCTAAAATGATATACAAGTAAGCTAAATCTTTGGTTTCAAGTTATTAGTCTCCCCAAAATACAATTCTCCGTAATTGGAACATTTTAGAATCAAAGTTATGTTTTTAGCCTCTCAATCGAAAGAACCTTATGTTTTAAATAAATTCGTTTTGGAGGATACTGTCTGGCTCAAATTATTTTACAATTTTAGAAAACTAACATAAATTTGGAGGATACTGTCTGGCTCAAATTATTTTACAATTTTAGAAAACTAACATAAATTTGGAGGATACTGTCTGGCTCAAATTATTTTACAATTTTAGAAAACTAACATAAATTTGGAGGATACTGTCTGGCTCAAATTATTTTACAATCTTAGAAAACTAACATAAATTTGGAGGATACTGTCTGGCTCAAATTATTTTACAATTTTAGAAAACTAACATAAATTTGGAGGATACTGTCTGGCTCAAATTATTTTACAATTTTAGAAAACTAACATAAATTTGGAGGATACTGTCTGGCTCAAATTATTTTACAATTTTAG